GCTGGCCCGTTTGTCTCTGGAGTGTCTGTGACTTACAGCTGTGAACCTGGGTACTTGCTTGTTGGACAAAAGACCATTAGCTGTTTGTCTTCAGGAAACTGGAATGCTGGCAGTCCCACATGTGAAGGTAACTGAAATTTACCATCAATTTTCAGAAATTGGGCTATTTGGCTATTTGCAATGGTTTGTGCCCCTTTGGCTTCTTTCCTTAGAGGCACGGTGCAAACCTCCAGGACCACTGCTCAATGGACAGATGAAGGGGCCTTCAAGTCTTCGGGTTGGCGAAACAGTGAACTTTTCCTGTAACAAAGGGTGAGTGTCTGGAGGATCTATGTGATTTAGTTCATTTGGGTTACACATGTGTGGTGTGACCTGTGAAAGCTCCTCTGTGAGGATCTATGGACACCCTGGGGTGAGGCTTGGAGAGATAATGTTAGTATTATAAAAGGAGTTGCAGCACACGAATTAAGTGAATTTGTCTTGGACTTTAAGTAGAAGTTAATATTGCCCAAGACCAACTGCTTAATAGCTCTGAATGACCACCCTCTGTCTCCAGGTATCGATTACAAGGCCAACCTTCTAGTCAATGTGTAATTGCTGGACAAAAAGCTTTATGGACCAAGATGCCTGTGTGTGAAGGTAGGTTAGGCAACTGTGGTTTCAACTAGTTCTTTGTCAGAGGCTCAACAGGACACTGCATTCTCAGGTTGACTAAGAGTTTTATTTAGATTCAGTCATTACTCTACAGAAGCTTTAGAGCAAAGATCTCTCCTAGACATCTTTAAGGGATATGTTCTTCACTGAAGATCCTTCAGTTACCTCTTTATTCTCTGCTTACTCAATGAAAACAGTGTTCCTGAGCTGTTCTTCCTCTGAAATCTAAGTAGGCTTGCCAGCCATACATAAAAGAGGATGTATATTCAGTAAAAGTAAAGCAAGGATCAGCAGAGTAGAAATATTCAGGGATAAAGCTCCAAATCATACTGTTGGAATTAATGCTCTACCTGCCTTAACTGATTCATGACAGATTCAGATATCACTGTCCCTCAACATAGGAGGTGAGAGTGGTATCAGGCAACATCTGAGGCATTCTTTGTTTTCAGCACAGTTCCAACCTTGTCATTTCTCTCTGTAATTTCTCTAGAAATTCTTTGCCCACCACCTCCTCCCATTCTCAATGGAAGACATACAGGCCACGCTTCAGTGAAATTTCCATATGGAAGCACAGTCACTTACACTTGTGACCCGGGCCCAGAGAAGGGAGTGAACTTCACCCTGATTGGGGAGAACACCATCCATTGTACCACTGATAGCCAGAAGACTGGGACCTGGAGTGGCCCTGCCCCACGCTGTGAACTTTCTGTTTCTGCGATTCAGTGTCCACCTCCCCAGATCCTAAGAGGCCGAATATCATCTGGGCAGAAAGACCAATATTCATATAACGACACTGTGGTATTTGCTTGCTTGAATGGCTTCACCTTGAAGGGCAGCAGGGGGATCCGATGTAATGCCCAAGGCACATGGGCGCCGTCAGCACCAGTCTGTGAGAAGGGTAGGTGTTTCAATAGTCAAAAAGGATGCTACTGGGGCCGGCCGAGTGGCTCAGTTGGTTAAGAGCTCGCTCAAGAGTTTGAGCTCTGAACAAAGCGGTTCGAGTCCAGCCCGAGCTGAGCAGCCGCTGAGCTGCCAACAGGTCGGGGGAGGTCAGCCAAAAAAAAAAAAAAAAGGATGCTACTGGTTCATCTTTTTGAAGAGTCAGAGGAAGCGGTTATGGACTTGAGCAGAGTCTTTACCAGTATCTAGTCCCCTCAATTTTACTAAACATGCTTAGTGACAATAAATTATATAGAAGGCTGCTTGACACTGCCCCAGCATTGTTTCATTTTGTGGGAGTATCCTCGTGGGGAAAAAAACATTAAAGACCAATAAGTTGCCCATTTCTTTAGGGAAAAAAAAATGCTTGTTTGTCCTAAATGTGATTTCTTAAAAAGGAAGTCAGCAAAGCCCCCACTGCATGGATAGATCAGAATCTCCCATTAAAAGCACACGAGGTGATTCCTTAAGAAAGGAAG